CACCTGGAGGTCTGTGCGTGTGCAAGGGGCCGTTTGCACGCAGGCGTGCAAGCCGTGCACACGGATTCATGCAAAGCCAGCTTGGCTTCCAGTGTGGGCGTGCAAGGCGTGCACAACAGATCCGTGCGAGGAGGGATTTGCACGCAGCTGCGCGGAAGGGTTGCGTTGCACGGGGGGGTGGTGCGTCGGCGTGCAACGTGAGCGTGCAAGGAGCTGCGTTTGCTGCAGGTGGGAGCAAATGGTGCAAAGGGGGGGGGTGGCAGCAAACACGGAATGCAATGAGTTGCATTGCAAGCAGCAAAAAAGTTGCATTGCAGACACTGCATGCATTGCAGTGCATTGCAGACAGCAAACAGGTTGCACTGCATTGCAAACACAGAACAGGCTGCATTGCATTGCAAACACAGAACAGGTTGCATTGCATTCACTGCATGCATTGCAGTGCATTGCAAACACAGAACAGGTTGCATTGCAAACACAGAATGCATTGCATTGCATTGCAACTGCAGAACACGTTGCATTGCATTGCAGACAGCAAACAGGTTGCATTGCATTGCATTGCAAACAGCAAACAGGTTGCATTGCATTGCAGACAGCAAACAGGTTGCGTTACATTGCAAACACAGAACAGGTTGCATTGCAGACACTGCATGCATTGCATTGCATTGCAAACACAGAACAGGTTGCATTGCATTGCAAACACAGAACAGGTTGCATTGCAGACACTGCATGCATTGCAGTGCATTGCAAACACAGAACAGGTTGCATTGCATTGCAGACAGCAAACGGGTTGCATTGCATTGCAAACACAGAACAGGTTGCATTGCAGACACTGCATGCATTGCAGTGCATTGCAGACACAGAACAGATTGCATTGCAAACACAGAATGCATTGCATTGCATTGCAGACACAGAACAGGTTGCATTGCATTGCAGAGAGCAAACAGGTTGAATTCCATTGCAAAGAGGTTGCATTGCAGACACAGAACACAGTGCATTGCATTGCAAACAGCAAACAGAATGCATTGCATTGCAGACAGCAAACAGGTTGCATTGCAAATACTAAAGGCATTGCATTGCAAACACAGAATGCATTGCCTTGCATTGCAAACACAGAACAGGTTGCATTGCAGACACAGAATGCATTGCATTGCATTGCAAACACAGAACAGGTTGCAGTGCATTGCAAGCAGCAAACAGGTTGCATTGCATTGCAGACAGCAAACAGGTTGCATTGCAAATACTAAAGGCATTGCATTGCAAACACAGAACAGGTTGCATTGCAGACACTGCATGCATTGCATTGCATTGCAAACACAGAACAGGTTGCATTGCAGACACTGCATTCATTGCATTGCATTGCAGGGAGCAAACGTTGCATTGCATTGCAGACAGCAAACAGGTTGCATTGCATTGCAAACAGCAAACGGGTTGCATTGCATTGCAAACACAAAACACGTTGCATTGCATTGCAAACACTGCATGCATTGCATTGCATTGCAAATACAGAACACATTGCATTGCATTGCAAGCAGCAAACAGGTTGAATTCCATTGCAAACAGGTTGCATTGCAGACACTGCATGCATTGCAGTGCATTGCAAACACAGATCACGTTGCACCGCATTGCAAACACCAAACTGATTGCGTTGCATTGCAAATACCCAACAGATTGCATTGCATTGCAAGCACCCAACAGATTGCAATGCAAATACCCAACAGGTTGCATTGCATTGCAAATTCCAAGCAGGTTGCAGTGCAAATAACCAAAAGATTGCATTGCATTGCAAATTCCAAGCAGGTTGCAATGCAAATACCCAACAGATTGCATTGCATTGCAAATTCCAGGCAGGTTGCAGTGCAAATAACCAAAAGATTGCATTGCATTGCAAGCACCCAACAGATTGCAGTGCAAATACCCAAAAGATTGCATTGCATTGCAAGCACCAAAGAGGTGGTGTTGCAAGTACTGACCAGATTGCATTGCACTGCACACCCAGAACAGTTTGCATTGGAAACACAGATTGCATTGCATTGCAAACACAGATTGCATTGCATTGCACATCCAGAACGCATCGCATTGCAAGCACTGAATGCATTGCACACCCAGAACAGGTTGCATTGCATTGCACACCCAGAATAGATTGCATTGCAAACACAGCACAAATTGCATTGCATTGCACAACCAGTACAGATTGCATTGCAGACACAGAATGCACTGCATTGCAAACACAGCACAGATTGCATTGCAAACACAGATTGCATTGCATTGCACACCCAGAACACTTTGCATTCCATTGCAAACCCAGCACAGATTGCATTGCATTGCAAACCCAGAACAGATTGCATTGCAAACACAGATTGCATTGCATTGCATTGCATTGCAAACCCAGAACAGATTGCATTGCAAACACAGATTGCATTGCATTGCAAACCCAGAACACATTGCATTGCAAACCCAGCACAGATTGCATTGCATTGCATTGCAAACACAGAATGCATTGCAAACCCAGCACAGATTGCATTGCATTGCACACCCAGCACAGATTGCATTGCACTCCCAGAGCACATTGCATTGCACACCCAGCACAGATTGCATTGCATTTCATTGCAAACACAGAAGTCATTGCATTGCACACACAGATTGCATTGCATTGCAAACCCAGAACACATTGCATTGCAAACACTGAATGCATTGCAATCCCAGCACAGATTGCATTGCATTGCACACCCTGAACAGAATGCATTGCACACCCACAGCAGATTGCATTGCACACCCAGATCAGATTGCATTGCAAATACTGACCAGATTGCATTGCATTGCAAATCCAGAACACATTGCATTGCACACCCAGCACAGATTGCAAAGCACTGCACACCCAGAACAGATTGCATTGCAAACCCAGATTGCATTGCATTGCAAATCCAGAACACATTGCATTGCAAACGCAGCACAGATTGCATTGCATTGCACACCCAGCACAGATTGCAAAGCACTGCACACCCAGAACAGATTGCATTGCAAACCCAGATTGCATTGCATTGCAAATCCAGAACACATTGCATTGCACACCCAGCACAGATTGCATTGCATTGCACACCCAGCACAGATTGCATTGCAAACACAGAATGCATTGCATTGCAAATCCAGAACACATTGCATTGGAACCCCAGCACACATTGCATTGCATTGCACACCCAGAACAGAATGCATTGCAAATACTGACCAGATTGCATTGCAAACACAGATTGCATTGCATTGCACACCCAGAACAGATTGCATTGCAAACACTGAATGCATTGCATTGCACACCCAGAACACATTGCATTGCAAGCCCAGCACAGATTGCATTGCAATCCCAGCACAGATTGCATTGCATTGCACACCCAGAACAGATTGCATTGCAAACACAGAATGCATTGCACACCCAGCACAGATTGCATTGCACACCCAGCACAGATTGCATTGCACTGCATTGCACACCAGAGCACATTGCATTGCAAACCCAGCACAGATTGCATTGCATTGCACACCCAGAACAGATTGCATTGCAAACACAGAATGCATTGCACACCCAGCACAGATTGCATTGCATTGCACACCCAGCACAGATTGCATTGCATTGCAAATACTGACCAGATTGCATTGCAAACGCAGCACAGATTGCATTGCATTGCATGCCCAGAACAGATTGCATTGCAAACACTGAATGCATTGCATTGCACACCCTGAACAGATTACATTGCAAACACTGAATGCATTGCACACGCAGAGCAGATTGCATTGCATTGCACACCCAGAACAGATTGCATTGCATTGCATTGCAAACCCAGAACAGATTGCATTGCAAACCCAGCACAGATTGCATTGCATTGCACACCCAGAACACTTTGCATTGCACAGCCAGAGCAGATTGCATTGCAATCCCAGCACAGATTGCATTGCATTGCACACCCAGCACAGATTGCATTGCATTGCACACCCAGCACAGATTGCATTGCATTGCAAACCCAGCACAGATTGCATTGCATTGCAAACCCAGCACAGATTGCATTGCAAATACTGACCAGATTGCATTGCACACCCTGAACAGATTGCATTGCAAACACAGAATGCATTGCAATCCCAGCACAGACTGCATTGCAAACACAGAATGCATTGCAATCCCAGCACAGATTGCATTGCATTGCAAACCCAGCACACATTGCATTGCACACCCAGCACAGATTGCATTGCAAACACAGAATGCATTGCACACCCAGCACAGATTGCATTGCATTGCACACCCAGAACACGTTGCATTGCAAACACAGAATGCATTGCAATCCCAGCACAGATTGCATTGCATTGCAAACCCAGAACAGGTTGCATTGCATTGCAAACCCAGAACAGATTGCATTGCATTGCAAACCCAGAACACATTGCATTGCAAATACAGAACACATTGCATTGCAAACCCAGCACAGATTGCATTGCATTGCATTGCAATCACAGAACACATTGCATTGCAAATCCAGAACACGTTGCATTGCATTGCAAACCCAGAACAGATTGCATTGCAAACACTGAATGCATTGCAATCCCAGCACAGATTGCATTGCATTGCACACCCAGAACACGTTGCATTGCACACCCAGATTGCATTGCACACCCAGTACACATTGCATTGCATTGCATTGCACACCCAGCACAGATTGCATTGCATTGCACACCCAGAACAGCTTGCATTGCAAACCCAGCACAGATTGCATTGCATTGCACACCCAGAACAGCTTGCATTGCAAACACAGAATGCATTGCACACCCAGAACACGTTGCATTGCACACCCAGAACAGATTGCATTGCAAACCCAGCACAGATTGCATTGCATTGCACACCCAGCACAGATTGCATTGCAAACCCAGCACAGATTGCATTGCAAACACAGAATGCATTGCACACCCAGCACAGATTGCATTGCATTGCACACCCAGAACAGCTTGCATTGCATTGCATTGCACACCCAGAACACATTACATTGCATTGCATTGCACACCCAGATTGCACCGCAAGCCCCGACCGAACCTCTAACCTTTCTCTTCTCCTCCGTTCTCTTGCAGCACCACCCGGGCCCCTGATTGCAAACGATGCCCGTTGGCCATGCCCCCTCCCCCCCTTAGGATGCCGCCGCCTCTCCCCCCTCTGCTGCCGCCTCCTCCTCTGCTCCTTTTGCTTCTGCTGCTTCTCCCCCCTCCGTCCAGCACCGCCTCCCCCCCCCCCTCGTGCCCGGCCGCTTGCACTTGCAGCAATCAAGCAAGCCGTGTGATTTGCACCAGAAAACAACTTCAAGAAGTTCCGGGCAGTATTTCAGTCAACACCCGTTACCTCAATTTACAAGAAAATCACATCCAAGTCATCCGAACCGACACCTTCAAACACCTTCGGCACCTGGAAATCCTGCAGCTCAGCCGCAATTTGCTGCGCCAGGTCGAAGTGGGGGCTTTTAACGGCCTCCCCAACCTCAACACCTTGGAGCTTTTCGACAACAGGTTGACCACGGTCCCCACTCAAGCTTTCGAGTATTTATCCAAGCTGAGGGAGCTTTGGTTGAGGAACAACCCGATCGAAAGCATCCCTTCTTACGCCTTCAACCGGGTGCCGTCCTTACGCAGGTTGGACCTGGGCGAGCTGAAACGTTTGGAGTACATCTCCGAAGCCGCCTTCGAAGGCTTGGTTAACTTGAGATATTTGAACCTGGGGATGTGTAACTTGAAAGAGATCCCCAACCTGACGGCTTTGGTGAGGTTGGAAGAGTTGGAATTATCCGGGAATCGTTTGGGGAGGGTGAAACCGGGTTCTTTCCAAGGTCTGAGCAGCTTGAGGAAGCTTTGGTTGATGCACGCCCGGGTGGCGGCGGTCGAACGCAACGCCTTCGACGACCTGAAAGCCTTGGAAGAGTTGAATTTGGCTCATAACGAGCTCAGCTCGTTACCCCACGACCTCTTCGCCCCGTTGCACCGCTTGGAAAGGGTCCACCTCCACCACAACCCCTGGCGCTGCGACTGCGACGTGCTTTGGTTGGCCTGGTGGTTGAGGGAAACGGTGCCCAGCAACACCAGTTGTTGCGCCCGGTGCCACGCGCCCCCGCCGTTAAGGGGGAGGTATTTAGGGGAATTGGAACCGGGACATTTCACCTGTTACGCCCCGGTTATCGTAGAACCGCCGGCGGATCTGAACGTCACCGAAGGGATGGCGGCCGAATTGAAATGCCGAACCGGGACGGCGATGACTTCGGTGAATTGGTTGACGCCGAACGGGACTTTGATGACGCACGGTTCGTACCGGGTGAGGATCTCGGTTTTGCACGACGGCACGCTCAATTTCACCAACGTCACCGTGCAAGACACGGGCCAGTACACCTGCATGGTCACCAACGCCGCCGGCAACACCACGGCTTCCGCCACGCTCAACGTTTCGGCTGTGGACGCCGCCGCCGCCGCCGCCGCCGCCGCGGCAACCGGTTACACCTATTTCACCACCGTCACCGTGGAGACGACGGATGGAGGAGGTGCTGGCGGTGCAAACGGTGAGGATACGGCCCTCCAAACCGCCCCGCTGCCGACGATGGGTTGGGATGCTTTGCCCGCCGGCGTATCGACGGCGGCGCCGGCGACGCGTGCTACCGGGAAGCCTTACACCGTTCCCATCACCGCCGCCGCCGCCGGCGGTGCTGCGGTGGGAAACGGTTTGGGTGGAGGTTTGCAGGATTTAGACGACGTCTTGAAAACCACCAAAATCATCATCGGGTGTTTCGTGGCCATCACCTTCATGGCGGCCGTCATGCTGGTGGCTTTCTATAAGCTGAGGAAGCAGCACCAGAGGCACAAGCATCGCGGTGGGGCGGCCAGGGCGGTGGAAATCGTCAACGTGGAGGACGAGTTGGGTGCTGGGGGTTGACAGGAGGAGGAGGAGGGGGTGGGGGTGGGGGTGGGGGTGGTGGGGGTCCGATGGGTGACAGCCGTTTGGCGTTGCCGGCTTTGGAAAGGGATCATTTGGATCGTTACGCCGCTTTCGCCGCTCATTACGGCAACAGCGGGGCGGCGTTGGGATGCGGGAAGAATCCGCTCCTCAATTCCGTCCACGAACCGCTGCTCTTTAAGAGCCCCTCCAAGGA